AGAGAGAGAGAGAGAGAGAGAGAGAGAGAGAGAGAGAGAGAGAGAGAGAGAGAGAGAGAGAGAGAACTTAGTTACCTGACAGGGGTACACGCTGGCAGGTACGGTGGGCTGGGTAGGCAGGTAGGTAGTGGGGTGAGGGGAAGAAAAGCAGAGATTGAATGAGAAAGAGGGAGGGAGACACAGACACAGACACAGACACAGACACAAACACAGACAGACGGACAGAGACAGAGAGAGAGAGAGAGATTACCTGACAGGGGTACACGCTGGCTGATGCTTATTTGAGCATCACCTGTGCCTGGTGGCATGTCAACAACCATAACATCCAGTCGTCCCCAAGCGACACCTCGTGTGAGCCTCTCCAGCGCGCTCATGACCTTTCAGATAAAAACCGGTTCGGCATTGAACAACACGTCAGACAGCGCAAACAACAAATCTCACCATGCACTCAAAAAAAAAGGCAACCAATGAATGAGACAAAGCTTCACCCCGACAGAAGATCTTTCACGTAGGCACTAGATGCCCTCCTGTTGCAGCTTCCATCGCAAGAATTTCACGTAGGCACTAGATGCCCTCCTGTTGCAGCTTCCCTCGCAAGAAGAAAGGAGTGAGGAGTTAATGGCAAAGAAGAAGTGTACAAAGCACACTTACGCTTCTTATTTTTCCTTGTTTTGTGGTAGTTGATCTAAAAAATAATAATAAATAATAAGATTATATACCTGCTGTGTGTGACCTTTGGTGATGAGTGAATCCATTCAAAATTCAAATAGGAAAAGATATGAACACTAAGCGTACAAAGCTCGAAGAAAGTCGTCAACAATAAAACAAACAAACTGCTGTGGGAAGTGATTACATTCTCTGCATCACTGTATTTTGCTATTTTTTTATTTTTTTCTTTCTTCTTTCTTTCTTTCTCTCTTTCTTTCTTTCGTGCTCTGGACGAAGTCTTCCCCGAATCATTATTAAATTCAAAAAAAAAAAAAGTATTCCCCTGATGCAGGCATGCATGCAATTCTGTCCACACCTAGCCTAGGCTACCAGAGTGGCCCGGTGTTGCATACTGTAACGTGCAGACCAGAACAAGGACCGACCTTTCAATACAAAGTATAAGATAGCACAGCGGAAGACTTAGATACGAATGATCCGACCAATCAATATTGCAATGCAGCTCTGAACACACATCATCATCATCGTTATCTGGTGTGAAGGGGGTCTGGCSCTTCACACAAGAAGACTGCGCCAKCCCCAACCATACACAGACGAAGAAGGAGGGGTTAAACGAAAGAGGAGGGGAAGATGGGAATGTCGTCAACACCAAGTCTCGGTACAGGCCCAAATAGTCCCTCGTCGAAATGTCTGAATCCCAATGTCCA